CCTGCGTTAGCGCCGTCCTGCTTAATAGAGAAGGGGCTGCTGATACTGACAATGGAAAGATTTCGGGCTGAAATCTAAATGTTGAGCTAATTCAAACAAGGAATCCGCAGGGGTAGTTTTGTACAACAAAGTACACTTTGCAGCACGGACTGAGGTGCCGGCATGCCCTGATGCAACACCCTCACCCCCTCTAGAACCTAAACCCTCAACCCTGGTTCGGATCAAGTTGTCAGGTGGACAGCAGTCGACCCCGCAAGCTAAACCTCCGTACAAGCTCATGCCAAAACATGAACCCAAAAACGCGTCCATGTGGCAACTGGTCGATTGCCTCATTCCCAGTAGAGGGCAGAAGTCCTTCCTTTTCTTCAGCAGTTTCCCTCTCCTCCTCCTGGTCGGCCTCAAGACCCAGACGCAGCCCTGAGTCATTGAATTCCCGGGCCGAAAAACCGATCGGGTTAGTGCTATACCGTTATATGGTATGACTTGACATGCTGCAAAGGGTCAAGGCTTCAGGTTACCTACCTCGCGACTCGACTATCATAGCCAGGAGCTATGACGAGCTGTGTAGAATAATCCAAGTCGACACGCCCTGAACCTGCGCGCAGACCCTATAATGCCAAGGCGAATTCCTGACACCTAAACCGTAAATCCGGCTGATGCCATAAGCGTTTGTGTTTCAGGGTTTTCAAGATCCCAACATGTGAACACAAAGCCTCTCCCTCATGGTCACCAGTAGAAATAAAGGGTTCCCTTATCACACGTGTATAGTGATCACATAGTCCACCAAGGGGTGGGCTCCTTGTTGCTAAGTTCACGCTTGAAACAAGTTCACCGATTGCGGTTCATGTGGGCGCCTATGACTCCGAAGGTCTCCTCAACACTCCAATGTCCCCCGGCGCACGCTACCGAAGGGTCAGCCATCAGCAATCAAGATCGATGTCCCATAGTGTAGATCCTGATTTATTCACTGCCGAAATGTCATCATTCCCATTGATTAACAAACCATATACAGGGAGGAAGGAAAATTAATCATGGGTCTACCAAGCCCCCAAATATCTCACAAACCCCGGTTTAAACCCTATCAAACAACAAAGAACCCTAGACCCCATAAACCCTAAACAGGAGGCTGCCAATATCCGATCTAGAGACCTCGGCCTCCGAAGAGCGCAGACCCTTGGGCTCTTGTTAAGGAACTTATAGTTTAAGTGAACATACTATGGGGGGGGGTCTCTGGTAGTAGATTTTCGGGTCCCTTTTTGTGGTAGCTTTGGGGTTTGGGCGTTTGGGGGCTTGGCACTTTCATGGGGCGCAACAGGCCTCCTCAGCTCCAGACGAAGGTAGCGCAGCCTCAGCCCCAGCCCCACCAGCCGCGACGGAGATCTTGGCCTGCAAGTTGCTTCAGCCGGCTTGGTGGTTCCTGATTGTAGCTGTTGTGGTTTGCAATTATCAGGATGACGTCATCAGACGAAGAGTCATAAATTGGCCGGAACTAGCGTAGGTGTCCAGGTGGACAAGAACCCTTGTTGGGGAAGCTTGTTCTGGAGGCACTGAGGCTTCGACGTCGAGACTTCCAGGATTGAAGTCTTAGTTGCTGAATTTATGCGCCCAAAAAAGTGGGTCCTTTCAGTTCTAGAGGGGAGAATATTATCATGAGCAGTCAGAAGGCTGCAAAGCAAAAAGCGCAACTTGCATCCCCAAGCTATCACAACTGGCCGCTTAAGTCGTAGGGGCTGATTACCCTAGCCCAGAAAGGTTAAGTTCCAAGTATGATCGGCTATGATATCTTTCTCTATCTATCTATCTATCTATCTCTCTATCTATCTATCTATCTATCTATCTATCTATCGATCTATCGATCTATCTATCTATCTATCTATATAGCTATGCATGCATGTATGTATGCATGTATGTATGCATGTATGCATGCATGTATGTGCATATATATATATGTATATACATGGAAAGAGAGCGAGAGAGAGAGAGAGAGAGAGAGACCGCGAGAGACATCCAACAAGTGTGGTATACCCAATGGTATGCAACGGGGTCTAGGGCAGCACTACGTCACTACGTGAATCAAACTGGAAGCATGCACAGGAAACTCTTCTATCAACCCCTGAAGCACCCCAGTATGACCCTATGAAACCATGTAATATAGAAGTCTTAATAGTCTTAACTAATGATTAGAGTAGATGTATTGAGGGACACATTATAGTATGTTTGTGATAAACAGGGACCCAAATTATGAATATTGGCAACTATGCCAGCTTCATTTTTGTTGCAAAGCCCCTATGTTGCACCTCCGTCGTTTGCGGTCATCGTGGACTACGATTCACCAATATCGAGACCTTAACGTAGAAACTACACAGTGACCCTCGAGAACCCCCAACACCTGTTTTCTGTTGTTGGACGGGTGGGCTCACCACATTAACATCCAAAACCCCAATCCCTAAATCATAATCCCCTTGCTGAGTTCTTTGGTTTGAATCGAGGGATCCCCTAAGCTTGACGAGATTCCCAGGAAGAATAACCTCCACCAGAAAACAATCAAAACAGTGGGGTCCTCTGGGACCGACATCCCGAAGAGAGTCACGAGATCAATGAAACCAAGACAATGACAATAACGGTACCAAGACTTGTAAAGCCAAGGTCACAGTACCTGTCACAGTAGTCATTGTCAGAATAAAAAACCACTCATCCCCCGAAACGAAAGGAAGAAGGGTCGAATACTGAAAGCCGAGCCCCAATTCAATTGCTTAGGGGGTTACGTTAACCACCTTCAAACCTACCTCTGAAAATGACCTACAAAAGGAAATCACAATGTGGAGCCCAAAGAAAGCAGGATTGGGTAGGCGCTAATCAGGAGCAAGCGGCCAGGCTCCCGGATATGTTGACCAGCTGCCGGCGATAGTCATCGAGACACTTGGGTCCTGGAAGTGTCTAGGGTTTAGGGTTGCGGGTTTGGTGCGGCAGGGGTCTCCTCTACTAGGGTTCCTTTGAGGCTTCCGTGCATCTGGTGCGTTCAACGCTTCACAAAGGGTGCAGTCTGGTAGTACTGACTGCAGTGCACTGCAACAGACAGTGCAGCATACAAGTATTCAGCCCATTATTCTTCTGCAGCACCCTAGACCAGCAGACGGACTTGACACCCCCAAACCGCAGCACCCGATGCCTAAGCTGAACTGCAAAAACCCACTACAGCCTGAAGGCGCAAATTATTCGGAATGTCTAGAAACCCTAGTCCTGCCATCAGCAGACAAAATACGAACCCCCACCATGGTAATCATCGGGAGGATATAGTAGCACCAACGGTGGCCCTGAACTCGCGACCTGAGACTCAACAAACCACCACCGCCAAAATCCGAAATCCGCGAACCTCTAAGCCCTAATTTGGGTACTGCCCTCATACAGGAACAGTCTATAATCGGGCTACTCTTAAGGGGCCTTCTATATCCATACTATGAATATCCCTCAACTGCTACTGAGTGGGGGGGGGCAGTATCCCAAACCCTAATCCTTAAAGCCAGGCCTCCACCCTCCTCCAACCTTTCAAGGCCCCCCAAAATACCCCAAACCCAGGCCTGCCAACAGCCTAAACCCTGCAGAGCTCTCATGCGACTAGAACCCTATGATACGAACCCTTAGAGCAACTTCATGTAGAACCCCCATCAATAAAGGAGGGCGCACCCACTTGAAGATCCATCTCGGCTTTGGATCGCATTTCCGCTCCCTCAGTCAGCAGCAACTGAGAACTAAAAGCGCTAACATTAGGTGCCTTGAGAACTAGAATGGGGTTTGCGAGTATCTGTTATACATAACTATGATAAAGGAACCCTAAAGAAGGGCATTGTTAGTTCTTCAGGCCCCTGTATTGGGGGCTTTAAGGTGCTAGGGCGTTACGGAACATAGCTAATACACTAGGGTTTTCTAAGCCAGGCTTCTGCACTACATGTCTGAAGGTCTGATGTTTGGAAATATCCAAGGAAATAGCCCCCTTATATAGCCAGACTAGAGCATACACCAACGCTGGGCCGCTTTAATCATTGAGATCCTCATTGTGTCGTGTTTGGTCGTTGCAATTGAGGTTCCCTCCTGCGGAAGAGTCGAGAAGCTACTGTGCAACTATTTCCATAAGCCTAATTACCTGTATCATGCTCACAGCTACAGAAGGAAGTTACTATACGCGAAAAAGCTTGTCTTTGGTACGATGCAACCGGTTCTAGTCAGAGGTGAACTGCAGGGCGGCGAAGCAGCCAGACCCTAAACCCTAAACCCAAAGCCCTAAACACTAAACAGCAGCAATAAGTGGTCACACCTTTCCATGCGCAAGGAGCTTCGTCAAGATCTTGTGACCCGTTGTGCTACCGTGCATGCAGGCACTGGACCAAGGTTCCGGACAAGTCTGCTTTAAATAGAAGCCAAGAAGATAAGAGGACCAATACACGCAAACCTAGCCAACTGTAGATCTCAGGCGTGCTGAAATTCCTCCAAGCTCTGCCGGTAGCTGCTTTGCCTCAGCTGAGCTCTCGGAAAGGTCTCAGAAAAGCTGAAGATGCTCGACACCGAGTTTTCCTTGCAACACACTTACAACCGAAACACCCTAATCCATAAATCTGCAGTTACCTTATATTCTTACTCTTGGCTTCTAACTACAGGTATCTCACCCAAGACAGGTGCTACGGTTCAAGGTGCTACGGGTCAAGGGTCTAGGTAGGGTCTGGGAGATGCTCTCGGCCCAGCATCGCGCTGCAGTCAGTTCTCAGGCGTTTTTTGACAATTTCAGGCTCGCATACATTTCTCATTCCCATGTTGGTTCTTGACGATGGGCCCTACCAACTCCTGAAACTACTGGATATTAAATATTGGGTTTTTAGCATGCTAACAACCTTGCTCGTTTTGGCTCGATGACCGTCTATGTCGACAAAGGTCGTGTTTGGCCGTAGATCCCAAATCAGGTCTCAAACTCTGTGGTGTGACCATCATCATCACCATGGGATTACGATTCAGGGTTTAGAGTTCAGGCTGTCAGGTGTAAGAATCACCATCATCGACATCATCATCATCATCATCATCATCATCACCATCATCATCGTCATCATCAACACCCGCATCATCCTCCGCATCGTCGTCACCATCATCATGACCATCGCGTCCCTGACCTTCACAACTCCAAGTTGCAGCTTGATGATCTGATAGGATGCGGAGAGGATCAGGGACGCCAACCCCGCCGCTTTTGCAAACAAGGCGAGGAGCGCGCGCTTCGTGACGACCATGCCTTTGAATTTTCTCGAAAAAATGGGTCGAGGGGGTTTTAGGGGTTTAGAGTTTAGGGTTTTAGGGCTTAGAGCTTTTGGCAGCAGCAGCATCAGCAGCTGCAGCACCTCCAATAACAACGGCAGCAACAGCAACATCAACCGCAAGAACGACGGAAAGCGCGACGAGGACGACGACGAGGTAACTGCTAGAGTCGGCACAGGTCCCCGTTGACAAGGAATCTTCATCAGCAACAGCATCATCGTCAGAAGCGGAACTCTATGCAAGGACTTCAAGAGTCACGACACACGGGAGAGTAGCGCCATTTCGTCCTAGCTGCCCGTGCCATACAGTTGATAGCCAAGTCCTTGCCCGCGATTGGCACCTTGCATGTAGGCTTCCGTCCGATCGATGGGATCTATGTCGCTGGGATGAGCCACCTCTCGCAGGTTGTTCACCTTCTCCTGCAGTACATCACAAGAATCTGACACCTGCGCCAGAGGAAGCAGGCACAGCAAGCCAATGGGGAGGTGGACAAAGAGCACCTGCAGAACGGAGGTGGCTGCATCTGTGTTGCGCGACATACCGTCACCGGCAGCAACAGCCAAGTGACGGAACATGCGGAGAAACCCGAGAGCCCAGTTGCAAATTGCAAACGCCAGGATTGGCCCACTAATCGTACCCAGTCGGGGCAGTACCACTCTCGCCAACCTTACTATCGAGATATGCAGGTTGTCCAGCCATTTGGTACCAATTTCATCCTTCTCCTTGCCCTTAGAGAAGAACTCCTTGTATTCCTGAATGATTTTGACGTCGATTTTCTCGGCAATTGCCTCTGCATGAGACTGCACTGTACGAGCCAGAACAGATGCGTCCACCATGAATTTGAAGAACAAGCAGTAGAGAAGGCATTCGTTGTTGAGGAGTCCCGTTGCCTTGTAGAGCCTATTGAAGAGCTGAGCACTGTCCAGCGTTAATGACTTCTGTGAGACTTGTTCAAGCAGGGGCTGCACAACAAACGCAGCTGCACACCAGTAGATGAGCAGCAGCGTGGGGACAAAGGGCAGAAGGCTCATTCTCCGAAGATGCTTGTTCAACAGCGTCTGGATGTCCTGCACGTGGGGTCCAGGGATGTGCAGGGTGTAAAATGGGTGCGCGGGATTTTAGTTTAGGCTCAAGGATTCAGCAATCACAAGGATAAGTTATTGACACAGCTTGTACAGCCCCATCCTGCTCTCTGATCGTCGACGGGCAAATTGCATATTCCCGTGTTGTTTTCGCCGCCGCTTGTTTCCCGAGAACCAGAGCGATGCAACAAAGCAGGATCAGAGCATATTCTGCTACCTCAATGCACACCATGAAGGGTTCTAAAAGCAATAGGCGGAGGTGGAAAACTGCCGAGACGAAGAGCTGGACTGCCGCAAAAGCGGCCAAGCTGAGTTGTGTTACCCAGAGCTCCGTGGCCCAGGTGAAGTTGGAAGGCTGCAAAACGAAGACCGGCTTCATAACAATGCCCATCTGTACCCCGATCTGCTCGAGATGCTCCAACTCGTGATAGGAGAACTTGACAGGGTCCTCGTTCTCGGAGTCTTCCTTTGGAGGCTCCTTCACGGAGTCTTCCTTTGGAGGCTCCTTCGCAGAGTCTACCTCTGGAGGCTCCTTTGCGGAGTCTTCCTCTGGAGGCTGCCTCACGGAGTCTTCCTTTGGAGGCTCCTTCGCGGAGTCTTCCTGTGCAGGCTCCTTCGCGGAGTCTTCCTTTGGAGGCTCCTTCACGGAGTCTTCCTTTGGAGGCTCCTTCGCGGAGTCTTCCTGTGGAGGCTCCTTCGCGGAGTCTTCCTTTGGAGGCTCCTTCACGGAGTCTTCCTCTGGAGTCTCCTTTCCGACTTGCGTCAAAACTTGGCCTCTGGCCAAGTCCATCAGAAAGCATGGCAAGGTGCAGAGCGCCAAACCGACCGCCATCACTGCCGGGACGATGCCTGGGTTGCGGGGCGGCGACCACAACTCAAGAAAGAGGATGCAAGCTATGTGGGCCCGAGAAAGAGAGTACTGGACTAAGACTGACTGAGACTGCAGGTTTGCCGGCTAAGTCACATTTACGGCTGAGTTAGGTTTATACGGCGCACATAAAGTCACACTGCACGTGCGTGACTCCCACACAGGCCCAAGAATTTCGGGTCAAGATTTTGGCCATCTCTGACCCACATTGCAGCAGTTCAGTGCAAGCACAGGCATATGTGTAAATACATCCTGACATGTACACACCTGTATACTGTAACTTACAGTGACTACATGTAGGCCCGTAGACGCTCATGCGTGATCTTCTTTGCGAAGAGCTGGACAGCAGCTTGGCTAATTGGCTGAGTAATCAACAACTACCAGAACTTCACAACAATTCCCAAGGCCCTAAAACTTGTGTACATCCTGCCAAGCCCCTAAACCCTAAACCCCTACAGTAAACCCTAAACACTAAACCCTAAACCCCTAAGCCCTAAACCCTAAGCCACTAAACCCTACCAGCCGCCAAATTGCCGAAGCCGAACAGAATCTTGTTGCCCAGGTGGGAACCCTGCGGCATGAGGACCACTGTATACCTGGGTTTGAGTTCAGGGTTAAGGGGGTCACCAAATTTAGCCATGAATGACTCTTCTTCTCAGGCACATGTAACAGGTACGCATGTCTGATTGTCTGTCTGTCTCTGTCTGTGTCTGTCTGTCTGTGTCTGTCTGTGTCGGTCAGTGTCTGTCTGTGTCGTCAGTGTCCGCCTGTGTCCGTCTGTCTCTGTCTCTGTCTCTGTCTCTGTCTCTGTCTGTGTCCTGTCTCTGTCTCTGTCTCTGTCTCCGTCTGTCAGTCTCTCTGTCTATCTGTTTGTCTGTCTGTCTGCCTGCCTGCCTGCCTGTCTGTCTGCCCTTCCTGTCTGTGTGCTTGTATGTATGCTTTGTTATGTATGTATGTGATTTGTATGTATGTATGTATGTATGTATGTATGTATGTATGTACGTATGTATGCATGTATGATTGCATGCATGCATGCATGTATGATTGCATGTATTTTTGTATGCACATGCACATATATGTGTATGCAATACCATGCATTCATGCATGCGTGCATGCGCGAATGCACTTTTCGCATCTTCGGGATATCTTATCATGGACTACGGCTATTTCTCAAATCGAGGAGCCTTGGGCTCTCTGGCTTCGGCTTCGAGGATTTGGGTTTCGGACACATGGGCTTGCTTAGTGTCCCCGGAAGACAGAGGGTTTTTGGCTTCGGGTCTATAGGGGTTTAGGGTGTAGGGTTTAGGGGTTAGGGGTTTAGGGCTTAGAGTTTGTGCTTGTAGGGAGCGGTAAACCCTAAAAGCCCGAAGTCCTAAGCCTTTCAACCTAAAGCCCTAAACCCCTACCTCTAAAAGCTAAGCGACCTAGACGTCTTGAGCCGGGAAACTCCATCCCGGTGTTGTTTTGCAACTTCGCCCAGATGGGTGCGACAACAAAAGATGATGCGAAGGACGTGTCGTTGCCTTGCAATGTCCCGACCTGTTTTAGGGTTTGGGGTGGAGTTGTTGTCCTCTTGGGGTGCTAAGACAAGCGGCTCGAGTCTAGAGCTTACCCCAAGCCATAATAAAACAACGAATGCACCAACCACCAGATCCAACACCTGATATGTGTAGGACTCCTATCAGACGCCGTGAAGCCACATGAACTCCTCGTTAACGATCGAGATCATACCCGCAGCAAGCTGCATCAAGCAGATTGTAAGCGACCCTATGATAGCAGCCCACATACCAGGGCTACCCACATGAAGTCTTTTGTTGAGCCTCTCAAGAACACTTGAGAACCCTGGTAGTGCCTTATTGCGCTGAACCCTTAACTCTGAACCTTAAGATCTAAACCTTCACCTCCAAACACCAAGCCCTACACTCCTATCCCTTAACTCTAAACCCTCAACCCCTGACATCCCCAAGCCTGCCTGAGATCCGTTATACCTCGCGAGAACTCCGCTGGCATTTTCAAGGATTGTGCTCGAGCCTGGGCCATCCTGACAGGGTTTCTGTAAGGGTTTATTTGCGGATTCTTGCTGGTTTAGGAGTTAAGGCATTATTATTCAGGATTCTCGAAGGCTTGAGGTTTAGGTTGAGGCGTTATAGCACTCAAGTACACTGCCGTGTATCAGTATATCCCAATCTCAACCCTTACACCTAGAAACCCTATGAGACCCAAACCGTGAACCCGAGACACAAAATCTCAAAGCCTGCAAACGAAAACTTTACGCCTCGACCATAGCCCCGAGACCCAAGCCCGGAAACCCTCGTCGTGGAAGGGCGACCCCACCAAACGTCCTGCAGCCTACAAATTCAAGGAAACTACAGGTGGGGAGTTGAGGGTATCTAGAGCTTCTATAAGGCTTCTATAAGGTATATAGACCTTCTATAACGGTAGCTACCCACCTGANNACCTGAAAATGTCCTAGATCAAACCCTAAACTCAAAACCCGACAACCAAAATTCCCAAACCCCGCGCCCCTAAACCCTGAGCCCGACATTCTGAACCCTTACCAGCCGTTCAAGACCCCTTCTAAGAACCTCTAGATCCTTTATGGATCCCTTTCGGAACCCTTGAAAGAAACCTATATCCTTATTATTATAGAACCCTTTGACAATCCTTTGAAGGAACCCTACATTCCCTAATTACACCCCCAAACCACCAACTCCGTCCACCCCGTCGATCCTCGAGCTTGATGCTCAGATTTTGCCCACCAAGCAACTTGACGGTCTCCTGTTTGCGGTCTTGGGGTTTCAAGGTGTTAGAGTCTACTAGGGCTTTGGGGTCGTAGGGCTTTT